CCTCAGCCTCCTGAGTGCTGGGATTACAGGCGTGCACCACCACGCCCGGCTTCATAACAAATATTAATGAAATATATAAACAGACATAAATAAATGAGAAACACAAAAGTACAAAACAATTCACTTCCGTTCTACATAATCCACATTTCTGCCAATGTTTACAACAAAGCGGCAGGAAACAGCTGAGTTGTGGCACCTAAAGTTTTGTTCTTTCCTTAGAATGCAAATTTCCCTCTTATTTTCTACTTCTCAGAGCTTGCTCCTTCTTGTAAATCAGCTGGCACAGCACAAGAAGGTGAGGAAGGTCATCAGGAGGAAGAGGCAACATCGCCCTACCAGCCTCCCCAGTGTGACAGCACACACACAGCCACAGAGGACTGAAAGAGCTCTACAGGGATGAGGGATCACTGCTCACTACTGTGAGAGCAGCACTATGCAGCACACAAAGGTCAAAATACTCGTCACAATTTTATATGGACCCCCGATACTATCTCACAGAACCTGCTGAGAAACCCACCTCCACAGAATGACATCTATGAGAGGTCATTTTCATTTGACCTGGATCCTTCTTGGATTTTACTGAGTAGTTCAGGTTTAGCACTTTCCTCACACTCCACTTGGGTCTCAGATCTTGGTTTTGTCTGGCCCAGCTCCTCCTCATTATTCTGTGGTACCACCTGCTGGTTATTTTCCCCTTCTTTTGGGTCATTTTGATTTAATTTGCCATCAGTTTCCAATTTTGCTTCTTTTCCATTTCCCAGCTTTGAGGGAATCTGTGATGGGTCTTTAGCCGTCTTCACCACCTCCTGAAGATTATATTTTCTGAACAACATGTAATCTTTCACAACACTCAGGCAACAGACAGCTTTGATGATTTCAACTACCACCGTGTATTGTGGATTGCTGAGATCCACTTTATTTTCTGAATTCAGACTGCCCACAATTCCTGTAGCAAAAATAGAGAAACATTTAGGCTGAAGATACCATTAAGCTTGATAGATATAAAAAAATTTCATCTCTTCCTTTTTGGGATCTGTTAAAACAGAACATACACTGGTTCATTCTTCTTTGTGGACTTCAAAATTCCCAGAATCATTTAAATAAGTAAATACAAATGAAATTCTGGGACATTTACGAATATAGTTGGCCTGCCAAATCCACAGATCCCACACAGATTCAACAAACCTTGAATCAAAAGATTTGGGAAAAAAATTGTTGTCTACACTAAACATATGGAGATTGTTTTCTTGTTATTCTTTCCTGAACTGTATAACTAGTTAGTGTATTAGGTATTCTGTGTAACCTGGTAATGACTTAAAGTATGAGAGAAAGATGTGCACAGGTTATATGCAAATACTACATCATTTATAAAAGGAACCTGAACATCCACAGATGCTGGTGTAGTTAAGGGATCGTGAAACTTATCTCTCATAGGTACAGAGAGATAACCTATTTTCCCAAAGCTTGATTTGGAAGAGACTTGACAAGAAAATCTAGTACCTACCATGTTGAAGTCAGTTAGGTTTGGTGTTTTAACATACTTGTTTTGTTTTGTACCAGGGATCGAACTTGGGATCTTGTGTTTGCAAGGCAGGCAGTGGCACCACTGAACTAAATCCTCAGCCCTTAATACACTTGTATACCAGAAAGTATCCTTAAACAGAAAGGCTTACCACTGCACACCTACATAAAATCACTAAGGGAAACATACCTGCCAATTCTTTGATAACTTCT